GGTACATAATTTATTGCATGGTAATACCACCCAACTCTGAAGCCCTAATATTGTCTGAAAATGCAAATCAGTACTTTGGCCAACATCTCTCTAGTCAGGACCGTGGGACTGTTGAGAGAATACAGCAGGTGAGGAAAGACAAACTGAGTGATGACATTCATTATGATGTGGAGACAAATGTATTTGGAGGAATTTCACTCCTCTTGAGTAAGGAAATGCATTAGCTATTAGTCATCAGCATTTGTAACGGAAGGAAAGGGAAGGGAGTGTGACTTCACTGCCTTCACTGTTGTAAAATTATCATTACAGCAGAACCAGGTCCAGCTATCTATTCATCCAAGTACTTATATGCTGCTGTTCATAAATATTCTCCTTTTTAAAAAAACCCTAAATGTCTAGATAGAAGGTGAAAAGGTAGTGGGTTTTGGGGTTTGTTTGTTTGGGATTGTTTTTGGTTTTGTTTTTTTGTGTGTTTGTTGGTTTTTTATTTTGTGGGGGGTTTTTTATGCAGCCAAGCTTGCAATGCATCACTTGAAATATAGGACACTGGATAGTAATAAAGATTAAAAGTGACAAAGACAGCTGTTTAAAGATGTGATATTATTATTTATGTAAGGCTCAAAGAATCACTTCATACAGACAGAAAAAAACACAGGCTCTGCCCCAAGGAGCTCAGAGGCTAACCAAACAACAAAACAATGACGAATGGTATCCAATAAGCACATGAAGGAGGCATTATGCTGTTGAGTCTCTGCTTATCTTCAAGCTCAATACAAGCAGAAGATGAGAGATGGGGTTAACTTTAAAGAAGGAGCATGGAGTAATAGGATTAAGCAGGATAGACTAGTGTCAAAGCAGGAATATGCATGAGAGGAGGCAAAGAAAAGAGAGTGGGTGATGGAAAGAAAAAGGCAAGTGAGTCATGAAACTTGGCTACACCAGTGGATAAGAAAGTTAGTAGCTGAAGCTTTGGAGGGAATGACAGTCATTCCCTAGCTCACAGATAGGCAAGAGCTAGGCTGTTTCTCTCTGGCAAAACAAGAGAAAAGCCCAGGAAGAAATGTGAAGAAGGTCTGGAGTTAGCTGTTGCAGTAGCAAAGTGATAAATTTAAGCAACGTACTGCTGAAGAGACCACAAGTGTAAGACAAGAATAGAGAAACATAGGTGTGGTTGAGATATGAGATGATTTAAGACACATATTAACAAGAAAGGACAGAAACAGTGATACTACACAGAGCTAGAGAATAGAAGGACTCAGTAACACATGATGAGACCTGTTTGGTTTCTGTGCGATACATTCACCTCAGAGCCTCTTAGTGGTTCATCACTTCTGATGTGTCTAAATAATAAAATAATAAACTGAGACAAAACTACAGACGTGGGAAGAGGTCACTAGTAGAGAAAGATAACCTAAGGGCAACAGTTTGCTGAAGGTGGTTGTAAATACACATTTCAACCTAGAAGTAGAGACAGGTAGCCTCCTGCTGTGATGTGTAATAGAAAAGAACGTATATCACAGACTAAGTGCCTGAAGTGCTCAAACTTAAAGTCTAGTACAGCCTATATCTTCTAAGACTATATATTTATTCTTGGTTAATACACAGCTACACGGGAGTTTGTTAGAACAGGTCAGAATCAAAATGTTATGCCTATTCACAAACATGTAAAACAAAACAGTGGAAGTTTTCAAAACTGACTTGAAACAATTTTCCTTGAAACTGTGAACTTTCTATTGTAGGAAAAGAAACAGGAATAAAAGGTTAGAGAAAATGAATGGTTAATAACTCTAACAGATGTGTACCTTTAAAATCAGATTTTACTAGCCTTTTAATATACTATACTATGCACATAAAAGGCTTGCTTTTTAAAATTAAACCCAAAACCTAGCATTTTATGTAGCTTTACATACATATTGGCAATCTGATTATCCATTTATTTTTCTATACTCTTCAATCATTCACAGCAAAACTAACACACACACAAGTCACTTATAAATAATTGGTCAACAATAAATAACATTTTTTTCTATTCTCAGTCTGGAATTTGTACAATACAAAAAATGCAAAGCCAACAGGACAAATATCTCCAGCAAATTAGCATGTGAGCCAAAGCTTAAGTTTCAAAAACTAGGTATGGATTTCCATTTTTAAAACACTGCAGGTGATTGTCTATTATTTATGTACAGATGCTGTGACTGCGAGTGCAGTTATCATTGTGTGTTTAAATGAGGTGCATGATTTCATGGGTAGACATTTGAGATGATGACTAACTTCTTGAAAGTTGTAGTTTAAAGCCAGTACTTTGACTGTGAAGATGTTTTTGCTGCCTTGCATACTCATTTAAACAAGTACTATGTAACGCCAGGCTATTTTCAGCTTCCAAAAGTAAGAGTACGTGGCTTGAGCTATTTGACAGCCATGTGTAACTGGAACAGTCATTTAAGTATGACGCCTTGTTGTCAAAATCATATTATTAATTCCTGTGGATGAATACCACAGCAATTACATCCACCATCTATCAGATCTTTGATAAGACAAGCACATGACTGAATAATTTTTATATAGAAACTGACTTGCTTGTTTTTCTTCTCTACTTCTGTAACAGACAGTAATTAATTCATCTCAAACAAGCCTGTCCATCTGTTAGATGCTGAAACACATTTAAGGCCATTCAGAGAGGTAAGTAGGTGATTTTATTAGGTCTGGAAACATTTCAAACTTTCTTATATATATTTTTCCTCTCATTTGAGCTGAAAGACAAATTCAGATGCAAATACAAATTCAGACGAAATACAAATTCAGCCCAACTAAAGGCATGGAATAACTGCTCTGCAGGCTGTTACCGCAGCAAAGACTTTTCTGGTCTGTTAAAAACAGTAAAAGGAAAAAAGAACAAATGGACCTCTATATGACAATGGACAAGAAATACAACACATATAGTGGGCTGAAGTAGCAGGATCCTTGTCCTGGAAAAAGGAAGCAATGGTGTCTCCTTCGCTTACCAACAGTGTGCCTGAAACCAGGCAATATGATAGCAGAAAGATGTACACAAGCTCAAACAATTCAGAGACTATCAGGAACAAAAATCAGTTGTCTGAAGGAAAGGATGATTTCTAAGGGGAAAGTATTTGAGGCATATTAAATATCAGGAAAGAAGTGGTATCATACAGAACGCTTGACATGGAAAGGAGTGAACTAAGTGTTCTGTTAGCTCAAATCATATTTTTTTTTTTTTTAAAGCAAAGAAGATGAGGAGTATTAAACCACCATACCTAATCCAATAATGCCCAAGGTCTCCCCTCTGATCCTGGCAGCTCCAGAAGCCACTTCCCGAATCTGTTCAACGCTTTGTACTCTCGTGCCTTCTCGCAAAGCCTGGTGAAGCCAGGTGGTTCGCCTGTACAGGTTCAGAATGTGGCACATGGTAGAATCTGCTGTTTCTTCTACTGAGGCAGCTGGCACATTACACACTGCAATCCCTGCAAAGAAGGGAGGGAAAGGACGCCAGTTGCCAAACGTTTCTTACTTTTTCCCATTTAACAGCAATTCAGGAGTATGATGTTTAAATTTACAGATGTTTCAATACCTGTTTTGTACAAATACTAAGTTTCTGACTGTAATGGCAGGAAGAATATTTAACATAATAGTTGATAAATATGTGCAAACATTTTTTTTCTTATTTTTTTATTACTATTTATTGTGTTTGCAAACCAAGGCAAACAGTAAACAGACCACTGAAACCACAGAAAGAAAGTACTGAAGATGTCAGGTAGTGGAGAACACAAGCTGAGGTCTTGGCAATTGTTTTACATGCACACTGAGCTACGTGCTTTGAATAGCAAAGAGAAAATACACCTTGCTCTCAACAGTGCAGTTAAGGATCATTGTTCAGATTTAATTGTATGAGTTAGCTTTCCATCACTGAGCAGATATCCTTCAAAAAGCTATCTACACAAGATATAAAAAAGGTAAAATAATTTATAATGACAGAAACTCTTATAAAGCCCTCACAGGACAACTATTAGCACTTCCAGTTCATGTATGGGTAATCATGATGCAAGAAGGGACAATTTGTTTCATGTTGCACACAGGTTTGTAGAATTACAACCAACAGAATCCAGGTCCTTTCCTGATCCCTCAAATTAAAGAGAGAACCCATCTAATAGTCAATAGGGAAATAAACATCTGCTTCTGCATGGCATGTAAAGATAACACAGAAGTAAGTCCATGTTCGTAATAGCTGAAAAGGGCATAACATAAAGAAGCTAAAAGACCATTACAGATTTCCACAGACAATTGTACAAGGTGCATTGATTCAAGATCCACAATATTCCTTCTTTACTTCAAAAAAGAGTTCAGGCAACAAGTGATTGTAATTGCATGCAAGTTATCCCATTCTGCTTTTTACCTTCCACTACTCAATGTGCAGCAGTTAAGGAAAATGTTTACTTGAAAAAGTTTGTATCCTTTTGGACTTGTCTCTCTTCAATCCTTCTGTTTACTACGTGTTCTTTCTCTAATCATCAGCTCCCACAAATGTTTGTCTCTCAGTTCTGCTGACTGAGATCACAAACAGTATACAGCATGGCAGAGAAAAAAAAAAAACCTGTTTTGTGTACTAGAAAACACCCTAATACTGTTTTCACTGTCTAGTTGTTTGGGTTTTTACATAAATAAATATTCAATGAGTCCTCAGCTAATGCTAGTATATCTTATGGAGTAAGGAAGAAAAAAATTATCTTCAATAATAGTAGTAACAATAATCTGACAAGTAATAAGCTCATACTATACTCAGATCTAAGTTTTACATTCAAATGCCTTCATTCTGCTGCCCAGTACTTTTTTACAGCTTTCTTTAGATTAGTAAAAATCAACATAAGGAAGCTGCAGAACTGTTTTTCTTTTCTCTGCTGTAGAGATAATAGTGTCTGCTGAGTCACTGCACCTAAGACCTACACAAGGATAAAACAGCATCATTTGCTGGAATATTAATCTTGGCATCCTGCTATATCAATGGTAGTATGAAACACAATTTTGTAAAAATGAAAAAAAAAACCCCAAACCTGTGAGTGGGGGTAAAAGTACAAGACTGAAAAATAACATTAAGTGCATTGTATTAAACAGCTGCATTTGTTTATACAGAAAGTCTTTTTCAGGGAGCAAAAATGCAGGTTTTAGATGGCAAAACAAATTTAATAAGCATGTCTCCTGATAGCTGGCATCAACAAAATAATGCTTTAAAAGGAACTTAAGAAATTGTATTACATACTTGGGAAAAGAAATAAGGAATTGAACTCACTTTATACCTTCCTCCCTAATTAGGTTTCCTTAGGAAACTTGAGGGAGAAGAGTCAGAAAATTTCTATCCTTAACTGTAGGAATTTCTTTTCTGCTATTTTCCCCCAACTTCAAAAAAAGCTCATTTCTGAAAGGCAGATGTGGTGAACCACAAAAAGCAGCAAGAGAGAGGCAAGGATATGAAGAAAAGACATTTCCCATAGGACAAGATAGCACACTTCTAACCATCACGTCTATGCTCCTTTTCCTCTTTTGTCACAGCTTTCAGTTATCTTGTGCATAAGTTCAAAGCTGAAAAACTCAAGAGTCAAATGGCATCAACCTTGATTCCTAGTTCACTTGCATGCAGTTACACTCAGAACTTGTATGTATTTTCTAGACAACAAATCATAAACTGGAGAAAAAGTAGATCAGGTCTTAAAGATTTTATCCATGAAACATCTGTTTTCATGCATTTTAGGAAAAGTAAAAGTGCTAACACAAAAATAATACTTAACAGGAAAAGCTGGTAACAACCTCACTAGGGAGATCTCTGAAAAATAACTCAGAAAGTTACTAGAGAAGTTCAGGAACATGTCGTACTTGAAGGTGTTACTCTTCACTGTATTTCAAGAGTGAATCAAAGCTTTTTACTAAGAGCACTTAACTCTCATATTACCTCCTTGAGATTAAAATTATTTTTACTAGTTCAACAAATGCAAAGTGATTTGTTTCAGTAGTGGTGAATTAGTCTTTAATTCCAACAATTTCACCCTAACTACTAAAATCAGAGATACTGTACTGCAAGCCTTCCAGCATTTACTGGCTGTTGACAGAGTGGACAATTGTATTTTGTAAATACTGGAATGCACAAACGGGATGAATCCTAACTGTATAACTCAGTCTAAACACAACACAGGAACTGAATGATTAGGAATGTGACCATTTAACATTTCATATGGAAGAGAATGTCCCAAATCTGCTGTACTATGGCTTGAAGAATTATGCAGTTGCATTTAGATTATAAATTTGGGTTACCATCCAGCACAGAGACTTGCAAGAAGAGCCAACAAACCTGCCAAGATTTTCCTCTTATCAGAGATTCTCTGCACAAAACAGACTCCTGACTGGTCAGGGCCTTTGATCTGTTCCTAGGTTTTAGCTTTTGATATAAGATTTTAGCCCTGGACAAACTCTTATTGTAGATGTGTTTTCTGGGGCTCACAAGGCACGCACCTAACTGTGACACGAGTTACAATATGCAGGAACACAGCCTTGCATGCTTTTGGGCCTGATCTGTTCTTTGTAGAAACTCACAAAGAAGTTGTTAGCTTCTGCCTGCCGTGCAAACTACACAGCCATCAGAAACAGGTGACTATTTTACTATCATTTACTGATAAACAGACCACATTACAGTTTCTCACAACATCAGTGGGGTTATTACTAGGACTAAACACTGTCACACTGAAGTAAATGTTTTCAAGATCTTCCCAGAGGATAATAGGAAACATACTCTGTCACCTCAATCTTAGAAAAGAAATGAAGAAAACTTGGACATTTACTCCAAGTGGTAGTTTGACTTGTAGATTATAGGTAAGAGATGGTTGATCCTAAAGTAAGAAAAGTACAAATCAGACTGTTGCTTTTTTACAGTGAAACACTAAACATCCTCTCTTCCTAGTTCCAGAATTTATTCTGAAGCAGCAACAACTGATTCTCCTATAAAATCGGTATTTCTATTTTATGGGGTGGTTTAGTACTAAATCTCATGCATCATAAATAAGTCTCAGACAGTTGATAATTATCTCATTTTTTATTCAAACAGAAGTAGTATGCCATGGTGATGGAATTATAGTTTGTGATTGGATTACAGCAACAGTAGTTAAAATATACAATTGGGGTAAAAAAGAAAGAGATGAAAAATTATGACCATACTCCTTGGGTTTATGTTGAACAGGCGGATTGTCATCCAGTCACAAATCTGTTCATATTATTACTTAATTAACTAATGCTAGTATCTCCATAATGATTTTTAAACACTTTGATGAGAAAAATTATACAGTTTATATATTATGTTAGTATAAATTATACAGAGAACATTAATGCAAAGACTTAGATGCCATCAGATTTTTGGAGGCAAGTATAAGATGTAAAATAATGTCTTTAATAGTCATACCTAAATCTCCAGCAGATTTGATGTCAATATTATCAAAACCGCTGCCAATTCGGACAATTATTCGAAGTGCTTTAAATTTCTCCAGGTCTTCTCGTGTTAAAGTGATAGTGTGATACATCAGTGCACCCACTGCTTCATTTAGTACCTATAAATAAAGTGGAAAATAAAAAAAAACCTTACTTTTTTTTCTTTCATAGGATCTCAGTTTAACCATGTATACATATTTTCAGGTATAAAAAGACTGTAAAAATATTAAATCCAGGCCTTTTGTTTTAAAGGTTATTTCTCCAAATATCTTTCAGCCTCTTAAGTTTTTTTCATCTGATGTATCCATTCTAGCATGACGAGATTAGCTTTAGAAGAACTAAGTGACCTATATTTGTGTTCTTATTAAGAGGGAAAACTCTTCTCATTTCACAGGAGATGCTCTGCAATATCAAACCTTAAGTAAAAGCATCACTGCACTGCATCTGCACATGCAGACGAAACACAACATGGGAGTAAGCACTCACTTTAAACAGTAATCATTTTTATGCTTAGGCAGCTGACATTCAGTTTTGAATGGAGTCACAGAGCAGTGTCTCTTCACCATACACACAGTGGTACAGGCATCCACTGCGCTATTAAACCACTTGATACCTGAATAGAAAACATTCAGTAATCATTACAAAACCCTTAAGACAACAGAGACTGAAATATGTCAATTCATACATAAGAACAAAGTGTTTGTCCCTTAGTTTATTGATACTGCCACTGATGGAAAACTTGATGTCATATAAATTGGCACAGCTGAGATGCCAAACTAGACATTACCCAGAAAAAAACAGCACCTCTAAAAAACAAGAAATTGTACCAAAGTAAAAATGTTGCAAAAGAAAAAAGACTTGTGAGAGAGGGAGAGCCAAACAAGAGAAAATAAATTGACAAAGACCTGAAAGGTCTGAATATCTCTCAATTATGTTGGAGTGCATCCAACCTGCTCAAGAAAGGTTAAGAGGAAGGGGTACGGAGAAGGAGAATAGAGCCTCGCACACCATGCCCAGCAGTTTTAAATTCTGTTACCGAACAGCGACACCGCACTCCACAGAGCTGACACAAGTTTATTGTTCAGAAAGCAGAAACCATTTTTCTTTCTTTATATATATGAATTGGATTATTTCACCTTTTCAAAACACTTCTCTGTGTTTCCACCTTCAGTGCACTCACTACCTAATATCCCAATCGTTCTACAAGATACAAAACATGCACAAATCACTTCAATAACCAAGCTGGATGTAATGACTTCAAGAGGTTCCTGTGACGCACTTCACATAAAAGTGCAGAGGCTTTAAATTTCTTATTGAACAGATTTTTGGTACACATACAGATTCTGACTTGTGTGTTATTTCTGCTCATATTAACATTTTCTAGGGTACTGCAAGATCAGTAACAATAATCAACATCAACATAAATCATTTAAATAAAAACTACTGCAGCAAAACACAGCCTTGCACATAGAGGATTACAACTGCTGGAAACCAAGATCTGCAGCATTAATTTTTAAAATTAAAATACATGAAGAAAATTTTTAAAAGAAAATAAAAACAAACTCCATAAAAATGAAAGAAAATTGCCTCTTACCAAACACTTCACCAAATGATTTATGCTATTTCAACAGGTGCTTCTAGATTGGTAACCCCAGTTCTAAGTCAGACAAAGACCAGAATCCTTTAAGTAGAATTTGAATTTACTTTTAAGAGTAAGAACTACAAAAAAATTAGAAATTATATATCCTTAAACAATGCGGCTACACCGTAACTCAAAGAACAGCTGTAGGCTCTGATCTTATAAATGGTTATACCACACAAAACTCCGTGATTTCAATGGTACAAACAAGTCTTTTGGAGATTACATCTAGCAGTCACCAACTGGAAAGACCGCGCTCATCAGAACGTGTTTCCTTGTGCTGTTACATAGGGTTAAAAAAACCCAAACCCAAACCAGTTTATTGGTTTTGCTTCTACAGAGACATTACAGTTGGTAGGACCAAGTCAAAGCCCACACCTGGGGCAGTCTACACAAGAAATAGTCCCTCTTATAACCTGAGTGCCCTCCTAAAATGCCTTTAGGGTTTTTTTTTTCCCCATTAGTTCCTAAAGAAAATTGTTCCAAAATGTCACAGCGCCAACAGTATGGAAATTTCTTCTAATTTCCAGCCTCAATTTATTCACAGCTCAGCTTGTATCCATTTGTTCTGGTGCCAGTTTCAGCCATTTGCTTAAATCATACTTTCTCTCCTTGATGTTTACAATCCAAATGTATTTAGAAATAATGATCATATCCCCAGTCTCCACATTTGTCTGGCTAGAATCTACAAGCCTAGTCCTTCTAGTCTCATCTAGGATGATGTCCTCCTACCCCCTTGATCAGTCTAACATTTCACTGTGCTCATACAAGTCTAATCTAACCACAACAGCACCCAGAGCGCTACTGGAGGTCTCACTCCCCAGTCTTACACCAACACCAGCACTGTCAGCAGCACTGTATGTACTGGAAATCTCTCCTAATGAAGTCTCACATGGCGTGTGACATTTCTGCACGGCCACCGTCATGCTGCCAGCTTTGACTAACATGTAAGTATGAATCCTTCTCCCTAAAGCACGTGTTTCTGTTACACTCACAAGTTTACACCAGGACTTCTTTCTCTTGAGTCACAGCACTCATTACTTCAAGCCTCAAGGCCCTCAAGTTCTTTACGATATCCTGGTCCTCTCCAAGTAGCCACATCTTTCATTCTGTGTTTTATCACATGCATTTCCTCCACCCCTTTCCAGGGTTGCTCTAGATGGCTGTGATGCAGGAGAAAACATCCGCTGTTCAGTTGTCAAAAGGGCAAAACCTGAAGTAGCTTAGAGCTCAGGATGACCCATCTAAGGTTCATATGACAGCTAGATCCTCCTCTACCAGACTGGAAAAGGCCAATGGTAATTGTGTTTTTGAATGTGCAGAAAGAGAGCAGTCACCACTTTAAGGGTGTCATTGAATAGAGGCTAAAAGAAGTGGCTCAGACATTTGTGCTCTAAGATCACTGTGTTTCATTTGGGAAGCAGCTTTTCACTTCATAATCATGCATATTTTATTAACTCAGCCAGTCAAGACTCTAATTTGGACACTAAGAGTGCCAGTCTGGACTCATTACATTACATTTTTGGGCCTGTCTAGGTTACGGTTTGGCACTAAGAGGAAATGGAAAAGTATTGGGAAGCTTGGGAATGTGTTCAATAAAAGGAAAAATATTGCTCAGCTACAGCTTAATGCTGACACGAGCCATTTCCACAGGCAGTTATTTACCCATCATATGGGATATGGAACAAACATATGCAAATTAAAATCTTCTAAATTTTTCTTTTTAGTGTTTGAGCCTCTTCTAGGATTATGGACCAGTTAGCAAGGAAATGCATTGCCAAAAATGTAATCTTCTCTAACTGTGTATTATTTCACATTAATTTGACAATCAAATTAAGTTACCCCTTTTTGCAACAGGCTATGTGTTTGAAGTATGCCAAAGAGGCAGAAAATATCAGAGTGTCTGAAGTTAGAATCATTCAGCACTGATGAATGCTAATAATGCCACTTATAGATTAAAAAAATTAATAGTGAAAGCTTCTCTATTTTGGAATTGTTTGTATAAATTATATTCTCAGTCACTACATACGCTAAATGCACACAAGAAAGTTTGACAAGCTTGTCAATGAGTAAAATCAAAACTTGAAATAAATCTGAGTATAACACATGAAACTGAAATCCAGCAAAAATGTAAACAGTTCTGGAAAATGAAATAATCTTTAGAAAAATAATCCTGCATAGGAGTAATTTACAGATCACTTACAGAAGCACACCCAGTGGAGGATGCATAAGAGACACTGGAGGATGCACAGGAGACATACATGTCTCTTATGTACATAAAAAACACATTATGTATGTGTTTTTTCATCGTTTTCCATAATGAACTTCATTGATATAGCAATCCCCCAATTCTAGTACAACAACTTTATTACAAAAATATCAACTTGTGTCAACTTGACTGAGATACATAATTAACAAGCAAGTTAAAAATTCCAGATTGCTGCAAGTACATGGCAGTGAGACAACAGTTTTGCACGATCTCTCATGAGGAAAAGACAATGGGTAAAATTTGACAGAGAACAAGCAGAGTTGGCTGCACAGCTTCAACAGTCATTCCTGTCTTCATCAGACCACAACTGTGCTTTTCAGGAAGAAAGGATCCGAGATAAAAGTTGAAACACAGGACATAAGTTGGCTTCCTTCTGTTACCAAATGATGATGTAGCCCATCTGCATAACTTCTATGCCTTCAGAGTTAGTTCCAGGTGCAGCTACAGCACACTATTTGTTGAAGGCCTTTTTCATACCCTCTGCAATGAGCTGACACCCTTTCCAATCACAACTGCTTGGACAGGTCTTTCTGCCATTCTTCACCCTCAAAATGATTACTCTGCTTTCACAACGTGCCACGTCTCCAAGGCTCCTAGAGAACACCATGACACTGTAGGAGGAGATACTTCTATTTCAAAGAATTTATCACATCTCGAGTACTGCATACTGAAGGTTGAAATCCCTTTTAAACATCTTCCTATCTATTTTCCACCTTATTTCAGCATCAGGCTACTTCAGCCATCACGCCAAACATGGCATAGTCACCACTGCGACACACATGCCACACATGCCTCACATTATTTGGGGAAGAACTCTTAGTATCTTGTTTATTTTTACAAAAAATAAACATATCATAACATGATAAGAATAGAACAGCAAGGCCTCTTCTTCTTTGGTCGTCTAAAGATACACTGCTAGATTTTCCTATCAGAGGCTTATCTCAGAGGCTTGTGGATCTAATCTAGAGTACAGAAACATAACACAGTATGTAAAATGCCAAACTACTTCAATGCAGAGACAGAACATTTATAAATTACATATTGAATATGACAATATTCATATTTTTTTAAAGAGACTTCTAGAAAATCATCACTAGAAAGTTGTATTTCATCTGCTTCTAAAAACTACAGGGTTTTGCATTTCTTGGACTTGGAGTTTAATATGTCATCTCCAAAAAAATACGTTACAGTGCCACCAGCAGACTGGAGAT